CATCTCCCCTACTCTTTCTTAATGTGGGAAGAGCTGCAGGAGCTGGACTTCCTTTTTCTTGTAGGAGTGCTGCCCACAGCAGCTCCCCAGCATCGCTGGGAGAGTATTCAAAACAACGGAGAGACAAACGATGACCTGGAGATTTAAATAAGAGTGGTTTCTAAAGAAAGATGAAAACCGTGTTCGCATTCCTCCCACTTTTGTCGCACCGCAAGGAACATGGGGGCTGGAGCTGCTTTCTTCTTCTGTACTTAAACCTGGCAAGCTTTTATCAAAATTGTTTTTGGAAAGAAGCCTCCCCGTTGGACCTGTGGTCTGTACTGCACAAAGGGTTCCTGACAAACAAGATGTCTTTCATAAAACTAGGAGAAATTAAAGCCTCAAAATAAAGGCAAACTATAGACAACGGATATCCACAAAGAGTGAGGCTCTGACTTACTCCTTGGCTTTGGTACCATTCTTAAACTCCTGAAGCTGTGTGTGTCTGGTTTGTGATATTAGCACTGTCTTTGCTACTCACTCACACAATATTCATAGCTCTTTGATAGGTATATTTCACTCTGTTCATTAAGGCATTTTATTTGCCAAATTTTCTCTTAAAATACTGTATTGTTTCAAAGGTGTGTTAAAAAAAGGAAACCAAAATAAAATAAAAGTAATAAAATAGCCAAGCTGATCTGAATAAAAGAAATCTTAGCGGTCAAAGACCTGAAACAGTCCACAAGGAGCTTACAAAAAGATTGTAAAACCAGGCATACAATTGTTAAATAAATAATACATTTTATTTATGTTATTCAATAATTATTCACTTTCCTCAAAATATCAGGTATATATTTTCCTAAAAGTTTTCATTTTTCTTTACCCAAATACTTATTAATTCTAAATGCAAAGAAGAGGATGTAAATAAATAATAATGATCATGACCATCACTTCAAAGTATATATATAATTAAGGAAAAAATTCGGCTACCTAAACCAGAGATATTAATAATCTTGAAATATAAACCTCATCTTCTACGCAGTTCTGCAATCACAATTAGAAAATAGCCAATCTGCTACAAGTTTATATACAATAAAATTGAGAGACTTTAATGGGACAAGACAAAATGATAATTTATAACATAGCTCACAATAAATCAATGTGCTGCTATTTCTCAGACCTGTAAAACTGGTTTAGCTATTATTATAACCTCTATCAAGGATTAAAGGTCTGACTACAAAGAGAAGGAGCTTTCTGAAATTAACTTTGGGAACAGAACACCAACTAATGTCATCAGAGGTTTTCTTCTGTTTATCTAGTAGTCAGGACAAGTAATTGGATCCATTTCATCACATCTAAACTTGCTCTTTGTGTGACAGATAAAAATGAACATATTATCTCTGGATATTTTACTTCCACATTCAATTATATTAAATGAAAACATTGTTTAAGTAGTTTATACAAAGGGTTTTTATTCTGATAAGGTTTTTTGCATGTCATAATGAATCCTCTGAGACTTCCTGAAGGTGGGAGAAACAGCAGTATGATTTTAGTGCGAAAATATTACAAAAGGGGAAAAAATGGAGCTACAGGGTTTAAACGGATTCATAACAAAGCAACTGTTCAACAGAATTTCTTTCACTTTTTCTTTCATAAGTCTTCTTAGATAAGGGAATCTTCGACATACTCACTGCTTTTAAGATTCTTTTTTTATTCAAACCAAAGCTTTTGCCACTATTGACACTCCTCCAACAGAAACCCAAATTCTCAGCCCATTTTCCTCACACTGGACTGCGTTACACAGTCCTCTTCCAACACCTCACACAACCAGCTCTAACCGTAGACGCTCCCACGGGGGTCTGAGCATGGGAAAAGGGATTGTCTGTGATCAGATCACTCTTTCTCAAACACTTTCAGGTAGCTTAAAAAAGTTGGAAATCCAAGTTTATATTCATAGGTCAGATTCTGCAACAAAAGGAACCCAGTATCTTCTTTTGCTTCAGAGAGAAAAATAGTAAGTCATCAAGAAAGACCACTGAGATCCAAGGAAATTAAGACTGCTAGCCTATCTTGATAGACCTGAAGGAGGGACTTCAAGTTTTAAGTGAAAACATAACTAATTGTCTGGAGAAGGAGGAGCTGGAACGTCATAAATTCTGCTTGTGATCAGAAGTGACATCTTGACGTGGTTTGTAGACAACAAGTCAAAACATGTTGAGGTATGCTGTTCTGAATTGTTCCGGCACAAAATTACCCCTGAGTGAAAACACAAGAGTAAAGAATTCTTTCCTGTTCCTAATCCTTCTCAACCTGCTGTTGTGCTATCTAACAAAATATCACGGTTATATCAAATCTTTGTATATGTTCTTAATTTAAAAACTAAAGAAACACTAATGATCAACTGTTTCTGTACTAGGTCCAGAGCCTTTAAGTGGACAGGCTAAAACACGTGATGGAAGGCTTTTTATGTAGTATTTCAGACATGAACAAAGTCACAAAGAAACTAAAAATCTGAAAAGATTTACAACAGTATTTTTTTAAAACAAAATGCTTGGTAATATGGAGATATTCATATCCATATTTCAGAATATTTGTTTGTATTGCAATCCTCTGATCAACAATAGCAAAAAAAGGTTTTTTTCAAAAAGACGAGTAAAAGTAAATAAATCATGAACCATCAGGGATAAAGACAGAAACCATCAGGTGAAATAAAAATAAGAAGAGTATAAAAAATGCAAAACCACTACAAGAAAAGCATCTAGAAGGCACATAACCTAATTGCCATTTGTTTCACCAGGAGAAAGAAGAAAGCTCAAAGAGCCTTTCTGACACTGTATTTCATACTCTTCTTGTATAACTGTCCATAAAGCAAAGAGCTAAACACAGAGGGATCCGCTTCATGTTATGCCACCCTTTTGCCTGAGTTTGAACATAACATAGCAAGGGCATTATCTCTAACATGACGGCAGACGATACCTGCATAACAAACTCTCGACGGCGAGGCATTCCTCTCTCTGAAAGAAGAACATACTCTGGCTCCTTCTCCTTTTTGGCCTGCTGGATCTGAGCCAGGCGACTGATGGGATTCATTCCTTGACCATATTCTGGGCCAGTCTAAAACAGGTTTAAAAGAAAGAACCATTATTTCAGCATATATCCATACAACTATTATGCTGCTTCAATAAATCGTTTAGTAGGGTTACCTTTTCTTTAATACTCCCTTTGAGAGAATAAGAAGTAAATTGCTTCCCATCTTCTGATCATGAGACACAAGATAAGAACCCTCAAAACTCAAAACTGTGGCAAAAAATACACACCTATTGTCTGCCGCTGTCGCGGGCAGTGTGCGTACCTAGCATCTGTAAGCTACTAATGCCCTCAACTATCTACTGAGATCCTGTGGGGACGGATGAAAAGTAGCAGATTCATTGGTCAATTATTTCTCATCACCCTATTTCTATGACCACTCCCCCTAACGTCTTAAAACAGGCTGCTACAATGCTGGAACATGCAGTATGCTACGAAGAGGTGAGATTCACATTGGGACAAGAAAAGATTTGCCATATAACGAGAAAGCTGCCTCTCAGCACTCCTGCCTTCCATCCCACAATGCAACTAAAGGTGTAGGTTTACTCTGTTTCTGCGTCATAGGAATTCACTCTCAAAATACTTTTATGGAGTGAAGCTAGAGAGGAGTATCTCCAATGGCTAGAACTGTTGCATATTGTGAGTCACCCACAAAGTATTTCAAATGCTTAACAGGCAATAATCCTCACAATAAGGTGTCAAAATGTATGACTGG